GCTGGGTAAGGTGGCCTCCAGGGGACCAAAGGCCACCTTGTCCGTCCGTCCACCCACCCACCTGTCTGTCCACGCATGGCCCTATGAAAATAGACCCTGGGCTTGCTTCCAGGAAGGCGCTGTGGGTCGCAGGGCCCCTGGGCAGGGCTCTCTGCCCGGAGGACTGGTTTCCGGGGGGTCCGCCTCTCCAGGGGTGGTCTGGCTCACAGGAGTGTCCTTTCATTCCCCGTGCGCCAGTTCAACAGCTTCGAGCAGCTCTGCATCAACTTCACCAACGAGAAGCTCCAGCAGTTCTTCAACCACCACATGTTCGTGCTGGAGCAGGAGGAGTACAAGAAGGAGGGCATCGAATGGGTCTTCATCGACTTCGGCATGGACCTGCAGGCCTGCATCGACCTCATCGAGAAGGTGGGGCCGCGTCTGCAGCCGCCCCCTCACTCTCCGGGTTGGCAGAAGGAACACCGGAAGAACGTTCTGGGGCACTGTCACAAAATGGTGCCACGCAGGGCTCTGCCTGTCCACGGGGCTTGCCAGGCTCTGTCACCGGTTTCCCAGAAGGCAACCTGCTGAGGCTAAAACCATCCAATCCAAAGCAGAATAGCCTCTCCAAGAACCTAAATACAGGACAGAGGTGGCCCACCAAAACACTGAGCACACGGTTTTCCCTCCAACACACACAAGGCAAAACACACCCACAACACCTGAACACACACACAAGGAAAGCACACTTGCACAAAACCCGGGCAACATGTGCACACACCCTTAGACTCCTCCTTGCACCCTCTCACCCCCCCTTGGACACCCCCAGGAGCCGATGGGTCACCTCCTTATTTTTCGGGCAGCCTTGACTTTTCACTGTCCCTCAAAGGCTCATTCATTTCCAAGAAGCTCTCTTGGAAATAAAGGTGATCCTGGAAGCTTCGTTTTGCTATGCACCCACCTCCAGGGTAAAAATCTGGATGTTTAAGATTAACATATTAATTTTTTAAAAAACCAAGAGCATTTGGGAGGCCAGCAAACTCCAACCCACAAGCGAAACCCAACTGTAGAGGGAACTCCCAAGCTTTGCACGGGACGTGGTCCCTTCTGGGAGGTGGAATCCCGTGGCTGGTGCCAGCTCCCCCAGTTGGACAGGATGCGTGGGAGGCCCAGTGAGGGGGGGCGCTGCTGACGCTGCACCCCAAAGCTGCCCTGGACAAGGAGCCTGGCTGGGCAGGGGGACACCTGCTGGCTAGAAGGCGTGTCGAGTGCTCAGCTCTTCTAAACCCAAGGCCAGGGCTTCCTTGGTGGAGCTGAGCCAGCTCATATTTACAAAGTGCCTGCACAAGTTGAAAGCTGCCATCTGCCCTTCCCCAGTCTCTCGGGGCTCTTGAATGTTTAAAACGTTTCTTTTTGAAATGGAATATGTTTCTCGGAGGGCTGCCGCGGGTGCCCAGAGCTGTCTGCTGGATTTGCTCAGAGACTGGTCATGGTGCTTTCGTTGGGACACACAACATTAAAAGAGCTTTTGAAGCTTCGGAACGGCTGAGCCCCGTTGCTGCTGTCCCCCCCCCCCCCCGTCGATTGACCGTCTCTCATTGCTCTTCTCTCCTTCTTCTTGGGCAGCCGCTGGGGATCATGTCCATCCTGGAAGAGGAGTGCATGTTCCCGAAAGCCTCCGACATGACCTTCAAGGCCAAGCTGTACGACAACCACCTGGGCAAGTCGGCCAACTTTGGGAAACCCCGAAATATCAAAGGCAAACCGGAGGCCCACTTCTCCCTCATGCATTACGCCGGCACCGTGGACTACAACATCATCGGCTGGCTGGAGAAGAACAAGGACCCGCTCAACGAGACGGTGGTGGGGCTCTACCAGAAGTCGGCCCTGAAGCTCCTGGCCACCCTCTTTTCCAACTATGCAGGCACCGAAGCTGGTGAGATTGCACGTGACCCAGGAGGGGGGGACCGTTGATGTGCCGTTTCCCACCAAGGTCACTCCGATGCATTTGGACCATGTTCAGACGCAAAGTGTCCTGTCTGAGAACCTCAAAGCAATAAACCCACGTTAAAAATTAAGGGAAGGCTGAAAAAGCGCGGAAGCTGCTGCTCACCTTTGAAAGGTTGAACGGAAGAGGGGTGGCGGATGGAGGCAGGAGGAAAGGGGAATGGCTTGGGGGGGCTGGTAAGGCTCTCCGGCAGTTTCTGGGGTGCCCCAACGGTGGGGCTCCAGCAGGGCGGCAGTTTCAATGCTCCCACAGTGGCCCCGAGCAGCGCGTCCGTGGAGGGGCTCGGGCATCGCAGAAGGTTGCAGCGATGCTCCAAGCTTTTCAGCCAGGACCGGCCCTACCATCGGGCCAAACTGCTTCAGGGGGTAGTTGCAGGGGATGGCAGCAAGGCCTGGTGAGGAGAGGCCCGTGTCCTCAGGTGCAAGGGTGTCCACTCAGCCACATCGAAGGCAGACTCCTCGGCCCTTCCAGTCCGCTTTTGTACGTGGAACGGAAGGGGGCACCATTTTCCTGGCCCTTCAATTCAGCATTCCTTCCACTGCTGTTTGTTTACCCAGATTTGGGAATGATGGAGGGGGGAGTTTGATAAAGGGGTTCATTTGAGTCTTCTGTGCTAAAACCCCCCTAGAAACTGGCTCTGGAGAATGTCAAGAGTGTGGCTGGAAGGGGGAGAGATGGGAACTCGTTAGTCCTTATTTATAATATTTTATACTGCTTAATATGCTAAAATCTCTGAACAGTTCAAGTAGAATGCACCATAGCCATTTAAAAGACAAGATGATTTTAATTGATAATTAATTAAACACCTTATTAATACAAAAGTCGGTAACAGGGGACATCACAGGAGAAGGGAAAGTCTGCGTGAACTGGGCGAGGATGAAGAAGAGACGAAGGCTTGATGGCGAACAGGCTGATGGATGGGGAACGAAGGGCAGATGATGGATGGTGAAGGAGGAGGATGGGTGGAAAATGAAGGACAGGCTGGAGGAGGGGGAAGAAGAGCGGGAAGTGAAAAATGGGTGGGTGGGTGGGTGGGTGGAGGATGACAGACAGATTAAGGATGGAGAAGGAGGGTTGGATGGATAAAAGAGAAATAAAGAATGGATGGATGGATTGATGGATGGAGATGACCAGTATTTCAGCACCGAAGCTCCTGTTGCTTGAATGTTTGTTGTGGATGTTTGGGTAGCGGCGATTCTTCGAAGGGTGCGTGACTTTGCCCTGTACTCTCTCTCCTCAGGTGGAGATGGAGGGAAGGGGAAAGGCTCTAAGAAGAAAGGGTCGTCCTTCCAGACCGTCTCTGCACTTCATCGGGTACGAGACGGAGGCCCTGGGAGTTGGTGGCCAGATCCCACTGGAGGAAGAGGGGCCAACGGGGCTGGAGAGAGAAGCGAGGGCCATGAGGTGGATCCCTCTGTGAGGGGTTCTGGGGGTGTGCTGAGTTCTTTTGGCAAAGCGCTGCTTGGAGGCAGGGAGACCCCCCCCCCACCGGCAGCTGAGCCCCCTGCTTTCGCCCCCTTCCTGCCACGCAGAGCTCCAGGTCCAGGCTATGGAGGCGCTTCAGGCCTGGCTTGGAAGTCCTTCCTCTGGTCACGAAGTCCGATCTGCCGAGGTGCCGAAGGCCACGAGGCACCAGGATTTTGGCAACGCTGGGGGTGGAGACGCGCGCGCTGGGGATCGAGGGGGAGGAGCGGGCAAAACGACTGCAGGCTCCCTTTCTCCCCCCCCCCCACCTCCCACCCACCCCTCCCCTTCTCCATCTCTCTGGCAGGAGAACCTGAACAAGCTGATGGCCAACCTCAAGACCACGCACCCTCATTTCGTGCGATGCATCATCCCCAACGAAAGGAAGGCTCCCGGTAACCACGTAGGGCTGGGGGGTTGGGGGTCCAGGCCCCTCAGTGGGCCTCCTTCCCTCCGCAGATCTGCCTCTTCCTCACCACCAGCTCCTCCTCCTCCTCCTCCTCCGCTCACTTGCCCAGCAGAAGCCAGGACCCCAGTGCATCCTGCAGCGGCCTCAGGCAGCAGAAGTCCTGAGGGGGCAGCCCTTTTCCAGCTGTGCCTCCTCAGCCCCCACACCCTGTTCTGAGCCCCCTAAGCCATGGCTGCCCTCCGGTTGCAGTGGAAGACAACATCCTGTCGCTGCATAATTCCTCGGGCCGCTCTCTGCCTTCTCGCATGCGTGTGCCGGCTGGAGGAGAGAAGGGGCGAGCAAGCAGCGGGAGAAGGGGCAGGCCCAGAGAGTCCGCAGCAGCTGGCCCGTTGCCGCAGTGGGAGCTGGGGAGGCCATGCCGACTCCTGGTGCCGGATCTGCCGCCCAAATGGCAGCTAACCCTGCCCACAAGCTTCTGTTCTGCCCCCCTCTTGCCTGGAGGGAGGATAATAAAGACAATCGGGAATCTTGCCTATATCAGCCTATTTAGCATATTGCAAAGGACCAAGCAGGGATGAAGCTCTGCGGGGCGTTTGGAAGTCAATCTTGCAAGGTGTTAGCCATACGCTACAAGGGCCTCTTCCAGCCTAGCACCCTCCAGGTGTGAACCCCGACACCTCTGGCGGGGGCCAGGCTGGAGAACGATGTCCTGGAGCAGGGATGGGCAAAATTTTCAGCTCCTGCAGCCCCCTGGCACCATCTCAGCCGACATCTGTTGGCAAAGTGTTACGGAGACTCAAAGGTGCCACCTTTCACTAAGGAAGGAGGTTCTTTTGGCACTTTTCAGCTGTATGGCCTCTGAATTTCCTGGGAAATGGTCCGTAGTTTTGCTACTTCGCTGCCAGTTTCCAGGCAGCGAATGCCTGGGGCAGGGAATGCACTGAAGGTCATGCGCCCCGGGGGGCCTCAGGGTTGCTCCTGGCTCCTTGGCTGGCACAAGGGAGCCGCACGTCTGAACGCGGCGATGCCTTTTCTCCGGTCTCTCCTCCCCCCACTTACCTTTTGCAGGCGTGATGGACAACCCCCTGGTCATGCACCAGCTTCGCTGCAACGGGGTCCTGGAGGGGATCCGGATCTGCCGGAAGGGATTCCCCAACCGGATCCTCTACGGGGACTTCAGGCAGAGGTGAATTTTCTCCCTACCTCGGAAGGACCCCTTTGGGGTTACTTTCCCTGGTTTGTGTTATGAGCCTATTACGATCTGTAATCTCAATCCCAGATGCCTTTCTTAACAATACTGTGGTCATTTTTCCTCTGGTGACCCTTTCTCGCCACTTGTTTGGGGGCAGCAGAGCATGGATATTTAAGAATCCATTAAATGGCAGTTGCACCTCTCCAGAGTGAGGTTTGGAGAAGGTGGCCTGAATACTTTCTAAGCTGTTAGTTGGATTGCTCAAGGGCTGTGGAGGAAGAAAGGTTGGATTTGAGGGAGGTTTGTTTATAGATCATCCGTCTACTGGCATCTCGGGACAGTTCACAACAAAGCAGAGATAAAATAGGGCATGGTAATTCAATAATGTAAAAACCACATTGAAAGTGATGAAGCATTAAAATAATGGGAAAATAAAAAGGGTTTTGCTTGGCGCCGAAAAGGAAAAAGCATCGGTACCAGGTGAACTTCTTGGGGAGCCACCACAGAGAAGGCCCTTCAGATAGCCACCCTCCTGATCGCTTTCAAGGAGGGCCCCCGAAGAAGGACCTCTGCCTCAGATCCCAAGGGGTGGGAGGGCATATAGGGAAGGAGGCGCTCCTTCAGGTATCTAGGGCCCAAGCTGTTTAGGGCCCTATAGGTCATCACCAGAACCTTAAATTGGGCCTGGACTTCAATTGGGAGCCAGTGTAAGCGGAAAAGGACGGGCATTATATCCAAATTCCTGCCGGTCCCCATTAATATCCTGGCAGCTCGGTTCTGGACCAACTGAGGTATCCGGACTGTCTTCAAGGGCAGCCCCACGTAGAGCATGTTACAATAATCCAGTTGGGAAGTTACCTGGGCGCGGGTCCCCATGGCTAGACACCGTTCATCCAGGTAAGGGTGCAGCTGGTGGATCAGCCACAGCTGAAGAACAGCGCTTCTCACCACCGCTGCCGCCTGAGTATCCAGCGAATCGCTTCCGCAAACCCTGGTTGCCTGGCGTTCTGCTCCTGCGACCCCTCGCCTTGCCGTACCTCCCTGCGGCTCCGCGGGGGGAACGCCGCTGCCCCCACGGGGGAGACCAACAACCTGCGTCCCTCCCCACCAGGTACCGCATCCTCAACCCCACCGCCATCCCCGAGGGCCAGTTCATCGACAGCCGGAAGGGAGCCGAGAAGCTGCTGGGCACTCTCGACATCGACCACAACCAGTACAAATTTGGGCACACTAAGGTGAGAGGGACAAAGCGCCCGCAGGTGAGAGCGGTGCAGAGCCTTCCGTGGGCAAGTCAGAAGCCGAGGCCGTTTCTTCCGGGGCGGAGGTATGATATGTCTTTCCTGCACCCCAGGGAGACGGGGGAAATATACTTCCTTCAGCATTCTCATCATCCTTCCCAAACGAGAACGCCTACAGTTAAGTTTCAAGTAATTAATTAATTAATCTCTATGCCACGCAATCGCTGGAGCTCTCTGGCAGTTCGCAACACGCACAGCGACAATCTAAAAGCGACATTAAAAGGTTCGTTACGAGGCTGAGTGGCGGGAGGTTTCGGACCGAGGAAAGGAAATGTAGTTAAACTGTGGAATTCTGTGCCAAGGGAAGTGGGGATGGCGGCCGATCTGCCTGGCTTGAAAAGGGGGCTGGGCCGATTCATGCGGGGGGAGGCTATCCGTGGCTCCTGGGCTTGCTGGCCATGGGCTACCTCCTTCCCCAGAGGCGGCCTGCCTGCATGCACCGGTTGCTGGGGAGCTGGGCAGGGGGGAGCTCTTGCCCCCCCCCCCCGTCCTGCCTGGGCAGCTGGTTTGCCACCGAGTGTGCAGGTCTTGTGTCCGATCCAGCGTGGCTTTTTAATGTTTTTATTAAAAGGTTAAGAAGAACAGCAAAGTTCAAATCCGATTTAAAACACATATAAAAAGTTACAATAGCCTATATAAACGAATCATGTTAATCTAATCATGTCAAACGAATCATGTTAATCGTTTCAATGTTTGTAAACCACCCAGAGAGCCCTCTGGGCTCTTGGGATGGTATATAAATGCAATAAATAAACAAACAAGCTATTTAAGCAGCTAACAAAGCCTCAATAAACTGAAATGCCCCGTGGCAGAGGATGTTCTTAACCCCGCACCAAAACGATGCTAAAGTTGCCTCCTTTGGTGGCAGGCAGAGGCAGCTTCAGAGTGGGATCGTCGCATCTGGAACATGGATCAGGCCCAAGTGCCTCGCATCTTTTCGTTTCCCGACAGGTGTTCTTCAAGGCAGGGTTGCTGGGCCAACTTGAGGAGATGCGTGACGAGCGGCTCTCCCGCATCATCACCCGCATCCAGGCCCAAGCACGGGGTCAGCTCATGCGCATCGAGTTTAAGAAGATTCTGGAGCGCAGGTGAGTCCAAGGACCAGGTTGGGGAGTTTCCCAGACTGGCGGTGAAAAGGCACGATTCGTAGCAAAGAAGAACCGGTATTACAGACAGACCATTCCTTTGTCTGGAAGTTTGCTGGTTAATTTAGTGCATTTGTTTCGGGGTCTCCAAAAAGTTTCTGCACTTTTATATTTTATAAATATATTTTACATATATATATATATTGCTGATGGCATTAAGAAGTTGGTACGGCGCTGTGAAAATGCATCACTAAGGAAGGTGACTATATAAAAAAGTGATGTAATTTGTTTTTGAAATTCTTAATAAATAGAGTTTATTGTGGAAACTTTTTGAAGAACCCACATACTTATTAGATTTATATCCCACCATTTTTCTTACAAAGAACTCAAAGCGGTTTACATAATTCTCCTCCTCCTGTGCTCACTCTCATTCCCACAACAACAACCCTGTGAGGTAGGCTGGGGTGAGAGTCTGTGACTGGCCCAGAACCACCCAGTTGGCTCCATGGCTGAGCAGTTTGGACAACAATAACCCACACTCAAGGACTGAATATCGGCTGAAAGTGGGTTATTGTTGAACCATGGTATTATTGCTGAAATGTCAGTGCCTGTGTTGTCTGAACCCTGCAGCACTAACAAACCATGATTACACCACGGTGAGAACCCAGGGTTTGTCGGTAGGTTGTTCATTGCAGGTTGTGAACGGTGGCTTGTTTGCCATCATTTGCTATCTTGCCTATATCTTAGTCAATAGGTTTGCTAGGGGGCAAGGCCTGGACTTGAAATGACCTCCACGGCACCTGCATTGCCAGGATCCGGGCGCCCTGGCCCCCGGCTTCATCAGAGCCGATGGCTTCATTCACACACCACGACAATGTACCCTGTGTGGTTACCACGGTTCAGTTTCTTGTCCTGGCAGACAAACAATAATTTCTATATTGTGCTGCTTTCCATCCTCCCTGCTCAGTCCTCCCACTGCTGGCGTGTGTCCCATCAGCCCCAGTGCCTGAATTTCAATCCCATGGGGCTTCCCTCCCTGGCTGTGTCACCTGCCCCGTCCTCCTTAGTCCACATATAGAGGCTGAATGGCTGGAGTGGCTCTCGCAGTGGCCAGTCTTTCCAGGGGACTCTGTGGTAGCCACACGCCAGGACAACAGAAACCATAATCCTGGGTTCAGGCACCGTGACAAACCAGAATGGGCTGCAGGAGTAGTGCCGAACTTATGGCATGCAGGTGCAAGCACCAGGGTAGGGTTAGGGTTAGCAAAAAGAGGTGTCCCAGCATGACTTTGATGGTTGGACTGTGTTTTGAGTGGGCAGAAATGATGAGCGGGGCAGAAAAAGCTACTCAAGGAAGGCTTTTTCAAAATCGCCCTCTTTCCAATGGAACTTTAGCCCTATATTAGGGTTAGGGGTGTGCACCAGGGTAGGGTTAGGGTTAGAAAAAGGAGGTGTCCTGGCCTGATTTTGATGGTTGGAATGTGTTTAGCATGGGGAGAAATGATGAGCGGGGCAGAAAAAGCTACTCAAGGAAGGCTTTTTCAAAATCGCTCTATTCTCAATGGACCTTTAGCCCTCTATTAGGGTTAGGGGTGTGCA